TTGTGCTTGCGGGGGACGAGCTTTGCTCTTTCTGCCCACCTCTCAATTGTCAATCAACTGTTTACTAACTACTTTTTTCCCCCAAACCCCCCCCATCCTCCCCACACACACACCCCAGGAAGCAACCTGTGACAGCTGACTAACTCCCAGGTACCTATTTTCTGCTAGGGAACAGGGACATTCTGGGTGAAAGAAACATTGCCCATTTGTTTTGCCTGGTGCGGGAATCGAACCCGCGCCACAGAATTACGAATCCTGCGCGCTATCCACCAGGCTACCAGGCCCCTAAACTGCCCCTGTATGTGTGTGTGTGTACTCACCTATTTGTGCTTGCGGGGGTTGCGCTTTGGCTCTTTGGTCCCGCCTCTCAACTGTCAATCAACTGGTGTACAGATTCCTGAGCCTACTGGGCTCTATCATATCTACATTTGAAACTGTGTATGGAGTCAGCCTCCACCACATCACTTCCTAATGCATTCCATCCGTTAACTACTCTGACACTGAAAAAGTTCCTTCTAACGTCTCTGTGGCTCATGTGGGTACTCAGTTTCCACCTGTGTCCCCTTGTTCGCGTCCCACCAGTGTTGAATAGTTCATCCTTGTTTACCCGGTCGATTCCCCTGAGGATTTTGTAGGTTGTGATCATGTCTCCCCTTACTCTTCTGTCTTCCAGTGTCGTAAGGTGCATTTCCCGCAGCCTTTCCTCGTAACTCATGCCTCTTAGTTCTGGGACTAGTCTAGTGGCATACCTTTGGACTTTTTCCAGCTTCGTCTTGTGCTTGACAAGGTACGGGCTCCATGCTGGGGCCGCATACTCCAGGATTGGTCTTACATATGTGGTGTACAAGATTCTGAATGATTCCTTACACAGGTTCCTGAACGCTGTTCTGATGTTAGCCAGCCTCGCATATGCCGCAGACGTTATTCTTTTTATGTGAGCTTCAGGAGACAGGTTTGGTGTGATATCAACTCCTAGATCTTTCTCTCTGTTCGTTTCATTAAGTACTTCATCTCCTATTCTGTATCCTGTGTCTGGCCTCCTGTTTCCACTGCCTAGTTTCATTACTTTGCATTTACTCGGGTTGAACTTCAACAGCCATTTGTTGGACCATTCACTCAGTCTGTCTAGGTCATCTTGTAGCCTCCTACTATCGTCCTCAGTTTCAATCCTCCTCATAATTTTTGCATCATCGGCAAACATTGAGAGAAACGATTCTATACCCTCTGGGAGATCATTTACATATATCAGAAACAGTATAGGTCCAAGGACTGACCCCTGCGGGACTCCACTCGTAACGTCTCGCCAATCTGAGACCTCACCCCTCACACTGACTCGTTGTCTCCTGTTGCTTAGGTACTCCTGTATCCAGTGGAGTACCTTCCCTTTCACTCCAGCCTGCATCTCCAGCTTTTTCACTAGCCTCTTGTGTGGTACTGTATCAAAGGCTTTCTGACAATCCAAAAATATGCAGTCTGCCCACCCTTCTCTTTCTTGCCTTATTTTTGTTGCCTGGTCGTAGAATTCAAGTAACCCTGTGAGGCAGGACCTGCCATCCCTGAACCCATGTTGATGCTGTGTTACAAAGTTCTTTCGCTCCAGGTGCTCCACTAGCTTTCTTCGCACAATCTTATCCATCAGCTTGCATGGTATGCAGATTAGGGACACTGGCCTGTAATTCAGGGTCTCCTGTCTATCCCCTTTCTTGTATATCGGGACTACGTTAGCTGCTTTCCAAATTTCTGGCAGTTCCCCTGTTGCCAGTGATTTGTTGTACACTATGGAGAGTGGTAGGCACAGTTCTTCTGCTCCTTCCATTAGTATCCAAGGGTAGATTCCATCTGGGCCTATAGCCTTTGTCACATCCAACTCTAGTAAACACTTCCTTACTTCCCCGCTGGTAATCTCAAACTCTTCCAGTGGTTCCTGGTTAGCTATTCCCTCTCTTATCTCTGGGATTTCTCCTTGCTCTAAGGTGAAGACCTCCTGGAATTTCTTATTCAGTTTCTCACACACTTCCTTGTCGTTTGTAGTGAATCCTTCTACCCCTATCCTTAATTTCATAACCTGTTCCTTTACTGTTGTTTTTCTCCTGATGTGGCTATGCAGCAATTTAGGCTGAGTCTTTGCCTTGCTTGCGATGTCATTTTCGTATTGTCTTTCTGCCTCTCTTCTCATCCTGACATATTCATTCCTGGCATTCTGGTATCTTTCTCTGCTCTCCAGTGTCCTGTTATTCCTATAGTTTCTCCATGCCCTTTTACTTTGCTGCTTAGCTAGCCTACATCTCTGATTAAACCATGGGTTTCTCATCTTCATTTCACTGTTTTCCTTTTGGACTGGGACAAACTTGTTTGCTGCGTCCTTGCACTTTTGCGTGATGTAGTCCATCATATCTTGGGCCGTCTTTTCCCTGAGCTCTGTTTCCCATGCTATATCTGTTAGGAATTTTCTTATCTCCTCATAGTTTCCCTTTCGGTATGCTAACCTTTTGGTTTCGGTATCCCTCCTCGAGTTCAATAACCCTTCTTCAATCAGGTACTCAAACACCAATACACTGTGGTCGCTCATTCCTACTGGGTCCTCAAAACCGATTTCTCTTATGTCAGAGTCGTTCAGGGTGAAGACCAGGTCGAGTCTCGCTGGTTCGTCATTTCCTCTTATCCTTGTGAGTTCTCTGACATGCTGGGTTAAGAAGTTTCTAGTCACCACCTCCAGTAGTTTGGCTCTCCACGTATCCTCGCCTCCATGCGGTTCCTTGTTCTCCCAATCAATCCTTCCGTGATTGAAGTCCCCCATGATGAGCAGGTGGGATCTATTTCTACAGGCAGCAGAGGCTGCCCTCTCAATTATAGTGTTAACTGCCATGTTGTTGTTTTCGTACTCTTGACTGGGTCTTCTGTCATTTGGTGGAGGATTATATATTACTGCTACTACTATCCTTGGTCCTCCCGTTGTCATGGTGCCTGCTATGTAGTCTCTGAAACCCTCACAGCCCGGGATAGCCATCTCCTTAAAACTCCATTCCTTTCTCATGAGTAGGGCCACTCCGCCTACTCCCCTACCATCCCTCTCTTTCCTTATTACTGTGTACTCCTGGGGAAACACGGCATTCGTTATGATTCCAGAGGGTTTTGTTTCAGTGAGTCCAATTACATCTGGGTTCACTTCTTGTGCTCTTTCCCTTAGTTCACTTGCCTTGCTCTTGATCCCATCTATGTTCAAGTACATTGCCCTGAAACTGACTCTCTTCTGCTTCTCCTCTGGGGGGGACCTGTGGGGTCTGGGGTGAGCGGGAGTTGGGAGGATCTGGTATGGGGAGACTGGTGGAGGAGGAGGGGCTTGGGGGGTGAGGGGTAGGGGGGGGTAGGGAGTGGGTGAGAGGGGGAGGGTTGGGGGGGTGAGAGGGGAGGGTTGAGGGGGGTGAGAGGGGGAGGTTTGGGGGGTGAGAGGGGGAAGGGTTTTGGGAGATGGGGGAGGGTTGGTGGGATGGGGGAGAAGGGAGGGTTGGGGGCAGTAAAGGGGGGAGGGCGTTGGCTGAAAGGGAAGGTTGAGGTGGGTGAGGAAGAGGAGAGGGTTTTGGGGAGTGTTGGAGAGGGGAAGGCTCAGGTGGGGTGGGGGAGAGTAGGGGGCTTAGGGAGAACGGAGTGTGTGTGTGTGTGTGTGTGTGTGTGTGTGTGTGTGTGTGTGTGTGTGTGTGTGTGTGTGTGTGTGTGTGTGTGTGTGTGAGCGTGAGTGCGTGCATATGAGTGCCGTGCATGTCTGTGTTTTTTGCAGGGGGCATTCCAATCTGAAATCACAGTTTCTCCAGCAGCTGAAGTGATGGGTCACCATCTACCATAACAAACATTACTCTCGGGGTCGTCCATATACAGAGTCAACCAGTCTCAATATTTCAGCTCTGCTCGGTTATCAGGTCGCCAGTCAAGTGTGGAGTGTAAGTGTGGCAATATTGAACAATAACTTATGACTGTATTCCCACCAACACTCACAGTTCATTCAGGATGGAAGATCATTGACTGTTTACAAGAATTGTGAGACATTTGTGGCGCCTGGGTTGCAGTTTTCCTGATCATCTGATGGAATAATGCTCTCGACTTGTTTGTGAGCTAGACTTATTCAGACAGCTGGCGGTGATGTGTATAGTATTGCAAAGCCTATTGACTGTAACAAAGCATTTGACCCTCTTAGTGTTGGTGTTCAGGGTCGCCAGTGTTATTTTGTTGTTGAAGTGTAGACGGTGATTGTGGTGACAGCTTGATGGTCTTTTGAGGTGGTAAGATTCCTTGTGGAAGTGGTGTCATTCCAAGTGACAGTGTAGGTTGGTGGCATTCCAAGTGGCAGTGGAAGTAGTAGTGTCATTCCTGGTGGCAGTGAAGGAAGGTGGCATTCCTAGTGGCAGTGCAAGTAGTAGTGTAAGTTCAAGTGATAGTAGGGGTGTCATTTCTAATGGTAGTGGTGGTATCATTCCAAGTGGTAGTGGAGGTGTCATATCTAGTGATAGTGGTGGTGTCATTCCTAGTGGTAGTGGGGGTGTCATTCCTAATGGAAGTGGTGATGTCATTCCTAATAATAGTGGTAGTGTCATTCCGAGTCGTATTGTTGGTGTTATGGATAGTGACAGTGGTAGTGGTGGTGTCATTCCTAATAATAGTGGTAGTGTCATTTCTAGTGGCAGTGGTAGTGGTGGTGTCATTCCAAGTATTAGGGGTAATTGGGGGTATCATTCCTAGTGGTAGTAGTAATGGTGGTGTCATTCCTAGTGATAAATAGTGGTGGTTGTGGTGTCATTCCAAGTGGCAGTGGTAATATTGATGTCATGCCATGTGATAGTGGTATTGTCTCATTCCTATTGGAAGCGGTAACGGTTGTGTCTTTCCTTGCGGTAATAATAAGGATGTCAGTTGCAGTGGTACTGGTGGTGTCATTCCTAGTGGTAGTGGTAATAGTGGTGTCAATACTTTTGGCAGTGGAAATGATGTCATTCCTAGTGACACTGATTATGGTGATGTCATTCCTAGAGGTAATTGTGGCATCATTCCTGGTGGTAGTGGTGATTATTCCTAGAGGCAGTGATAATGGTGGTATCATTTCTAGTAGCAGTGGTAATAGTAGTTTCATTCCTAGTAGTAGTGGTGGTGGTGTCATGGCTAGTGACAGCAATAGTGGTAGTGTCATGGCTAGTGACAGTGGATGAAGGGGTTTGATTCCTAGTGGCAGTGGTGGTGTCATTCCTAATGGTTGTGTTGAGGTATTCCTAGTGGTAGTGTTATCATCAATAATGGCAGTGGAAATAGTGGTGTCATTCCTAAAGGCAGTGGTAGTGGTGTCATTCCTAAAGGCAGTGGTAGTGGTGGTATCATTCCTAGTGTTAGTAATAGTGGTGGTCTCATATCTAGTGATAGTGATAACGGTGGTGCAATTCCTAGTGGTATTATTGGTGTCGTTCCTAGTGGAAGTGATACTGCTGCTGTTATTCAAAGGGGCCGAGGTAAAGATGGTGTCATTCCTAGTAGCAGTGATAATGGCGGTGTCATTCATGGTGGTTAGTGGTAGTGTTGGTGACAATCCTAGTGGCAGTGTTAGTGGTGTTGTTCCTAGTGGCAGTTGTAGGGGTTGTGTCATTTATTGTGATAATAGTAGTGATGGTGTCAATCCTAGTTGCAATATAGTGGTGCTGTTATTCCTAGGGGTAGTTGTTGTGGCATTCCTAGTGGCAGTGGTAGTTGTGGTGTCATTCTTAGAGGCGGTGTTGGTGTCATTTCTAGTGTCAGTGGTAATGCTCGTGTCATTTTTAGTGGCAGAATTAATGGTGGATAATTGTATCAATGGAATGACACCACAACTACAACTACCTCGAGGAAGGACTCCACCATTACCACTGCCACTAAAAATGACACAACCATTACCACTGACAGTAGACATTCATATTTGTAGTTTTGGATGTGGTGTCATTCCTAATGGCAGTGGTAATATTGGTGTCATGCCTAGTGGTAGTGGTATAGATTGTGTCATTCCTATTAACAGTGGTAACTGTGTTGCAATTCCAAGTGGTAATAATAGAGATGTTGTCATTTTCTAGTGGCAATGGTGGTGTTTATTTTTTTTTGCAGGGATATTCCTGCGCGGGCCCTAAGCCTCTGGCTGGCCCACTAAGTGTTGCTTGTTTCTGTTTTACTTGGGCGGAGTATGAGTATTTATGACTCGTATGGTCGCTTCAGTAAGATTTTGCCATATGTGTTTAACAACTTCTTCTGCTCTGTTGAATCTAAGTTGAAATCTTAATGGGTTTGTAACTGTGCACTGTGTTAGATAATGTTCCAGTGGTCTGTCGGGCATTTCACCACAGTGTTGACATTTCCTCTCATCTTCCGGAACCTGTAACCCTATTTCCCATGCACATGGGTATCCAAGCCTGATGCGATGTAAATGCACTTCTGTTGCTCTACTGTTCCCTTTCATCAAACTAAGTGGTTCGTAGTTGGTTGAATTCTTATACCAACCCGCAGATCCTGATGTTGCAACTGCTGTGTTGTGGTCACTGTACATCTTTTGCATTGCTCTGTTTCTAATTACTTTCTTAATCTGTGATAGACTCTGTACTATGTAAATGTCTACATTTCTCCTCTTAGTAGCAAGTTTTGCAGCTTCGTCTGCAATATCATTTCCTATTATTTCCACATGACTTGGCACCCAGTTGATAAGTTCCCGTCGGCCTTGTCATTTGAGTGTTTGCATGAATGATATGACATTTGTGATCAGATGGATGTTATCACATATGTGTTCTTGTTGCAAGGTTTCAATGGCGGTTCTCGAATCTGTATGTATGATAACATGTTGTCGGTGTTCAGCAAGAGCATGTTCCAAAGCCTTTTGAATGGCTAGCATCTCTGTTTGTAAAGTCGAACACCCATTTGAGAGCCTCCACCTATTTACAGAGTTTCCTGCTTTAACTGCAGCTCCGGTTTCTTGTCCCTGCTGGTCTACTGATCCATCTGTGAAGTAAGTGAAGCTGTCGGATGCCATGTTTGCTTCTATATGCATCTGTGCAATGTTACGTAGCAGATGAGGATTTGTCTGGTTCTTCTTTCCTTAAAGAGCCATAATCTTAAAGTCTGCTGGCAGAGATTCCCAAGGGGCTTGCATAGCAAAGTCTGCATGTATTTCGTCGACACCCCTCTCAGTGACTGACTGTTATATCGAATGTATTGATGGTGTTTATTGCACAATGGGTCCACCTGTTGCTATTGGAGGCTCTTCTGTCCAGAGTTAGTGCTCCAGTGATCATATCTTTAAGTGAACTGATTCTAGGTCTAGTCAATATCTTGGTCAGCATGCACGCAGCAATCCCTTTTACCCTTATTTCAATCGACGTTAGCTTTGTTTCTAGTCTTAGGTTCAGTATTTTAGTCCATTTGGGAGCTCCTGTTATGATTCGCAATGCATCATTTTGAAGAACCTCAACGTTTGCCCACTGACCAGGAGAAAGAGTGAGTAAGGCAGGGGCTGCATAATCAACTAGGGAACGAACGGCGTGTATGTAAAACATTCTTAACACTTTGTGTCCCGCTCCTAGACGGGGCCCTGTGATTGCTCTCATTATATTTAGTCGTGATTTTGCTTTCTCCTTTAGATATTGAATTTGCTTATTGAATGTCATAATGGTGGTGGTGTCATTCCTAGTTGCCGTGATAATAGTGATGTCATTCATTTTCATGGTGGTAATGGTGGTGTCATTGTTAGTGAAAGTGGTGGTGGTGGTGTTGTTATGGCTAGTGACAGTAGTAGTGGTAGTGACAGTAGTAGTGGTGGTAACGGTGGGGTCATCACTATTATTACCAGTGGTAATAATAGTGATGTTTTCCATTTATAATGACAGTGGCAATAGTGGTGTCATTCACTTAGGCAGTGGTAATGATGGTGTCATTCCAAGTGGTTATATTGATCTCATTCCTTCAGGTAATGAAGGTATCATTCCTGGTGGCATTAGTGATGTTATTTATAGTGATAGTGGTGGTGTCAATCCAAATGGTAGTGTTGATATATTCGTAGAGGCAGTGTTAGTGGTGGTATCATTCCTAGTGGCAGTGGTAAAAGTGGTTTCAATCCTAGAGGTAGTGGTTCTCTCATAGCTGGTGACAATAGTAGTGGTGGGGTTATGGCTAGGGACAGTGGATGCAGTGGTGTCATTCCTAGTGGTAGTGGTGGTGTCACCTCTAATAGTAGTGGTGATGTCATTCATAGTGGCAGTGTTAGTGGTGGTATTATTCCTAGTGGCAGTGGTAATAGTTGTGTCATTCCTAATTTGTCGTGATGGTGTCATTGCTAATATGTCGTGGTGGTGTCATTCCAAATTTGTCGTGGTGGTGTCATTCCTATTTTGTCGTGGTGTCATTCCTAGTGGCAGTAGTAATTGTGGTGTCATTCTGAATGACAGTAGTAGTGGTGGTATCATTAATAGTGGTAGTAATTGTGGTGGTGTCAATCCTATTGAAAGTGGTAACAGTGGGTAATTCCTAGTTGTATTGGTGGTGTCATTCCTTGTGGCAGTGGTGGTTGTGGTGTTATTCCTTGTGGTATTGGTGTCATTCCTATTGACTATGGTAGTGATGATGTCATTCCTAGTGGCGTGATAGTAATAGTGTCAATTCTAGTGGCAGTGATACTGCTGGCGTCATTCTTTGTGTCAGTGGTCGTGACGGTGTCTTTCATAGTGGCAGTGGTAAGGGTGGTGGCACTGCTAGTGGTTAGTGATAGTAGTGGTGTCAATCATAGTGGCAGTTTTAGTGGTGTTATTCCTAGTGGCAATGATAGTGGTAGTGTCATTCCTATTGGCAGTAGTTATGGTTGTGTCGTTTCTAATGGTAATGGTGGTGGTTGTAATGCCATTTCTAGTGGTAGTGGTGATGTCATTCCTAGAGGGTGTTGTAGTGTGATTCCTAGTGGTTGTGGTAGTATAATTTCTTGTGGCAGTGGTTATTGTGTTGTCATTCCTAGTGTCAGTGATAGCATTGGTGTCATTCCTAGTGGTTAGTGGTGGTGGTAGTGTGAATCTCAATGACAGTGGAAGAGATGGTATTCCACGTAGCATTGGTAGTGATGGTGTCATTTGTAGTTATAGTGGTAATGGTGTTATCAATCCTAGTTGCAGTGGTAGTGCTGATGTCATTCATAGTGGCAGTAGTAGCGGTTGTGCCATTCCTAGAAGCAGTGGTTATGGTGGTCACATTCCTAGAGGGAATGGTAGTGTCATCCATGGTGGCAGTGGTGGAGTCATCTCTAGTGACAGTGCTGGTGGTGGTGTCATTTATAGTAAGAGTGAAGGTGGTGGGCGTCAGTTCTCTTGATAGTGGTGGTGTCATTCCTAATGGTAGTGGTGATATTCTCCTGAGGGCAGTGTTAGTGGTGGTATCATTCCTAGTGGCTGTGGTAAAGGTGGTTTAATTTTTAGTTGTAGTATTTGTGTCAAGGTTATGGTCAATAGTTGTGGTGGTGTCATGGCTAGTGACAGTTGTAGCGGTGTTGTCATTCCTAGTGGTAGTGGTGATGTAATCCCTAACGGTAGTGAAGATGTCATTCCTAGTGGCAGTTTTAATAGTTGTGCCATTCCTAATTTGTCGTGGTGGTGTCAATACTAGTGGCAGTGGTAATGGTCGTGTTATTGCTAGTGGTAGTGGTGTCATTCCTAGTGGCTATGGTAGCAATGATATCATTCCTAGTGGCGAGGTAGTAGCGGTGTCAATCCTAGTGGCAGTGATACTGCTGGTGTCATTCATAGTGGCAGCTATTAGGTGGTAGCGGTGGAGGTGTCATTGCTAGTGGTTAGTGGTAGTAGTGGTGTCAATTATAGTTGCAGTGTTAGTGGTGGTTTCTTATTATCAGTGATAATGGTGGTGTCATTCCTAGTGGCAGTTGTTATGGTTGTGTCATTTTTAATGGTGGCATTAGTTGTGGTGGCATTTCTAATGGTAGAGGTGATGTCATTCCTAGTGGTTGTAGTGGTGTCATTCCTAGTGGTAGTAATAGTTGTGGTGTGATTCCTAGTGGTAGTGGTGGTGTCATGTCATTCCTAGTGGTTGTGGTAGTGTCATTCCTAGTGGCCGTGGTAATCATGGTGTCATCCTAGTTGTAGTGCTGGTTGTAGTGGTGTCATTACTAGTGGCAGTGGTAATTATGGTGTCATTCCTAGTGATAGTGGTAGTTGTGGTGGCATTCTTAGCGGCAGTGGTAATGGTGGTGTCATTCTTTGTTGTAATAAGAGTAATGTTGTAACTTCTAGTGGCAGTGGGAGAAGGTGGTGTAATTCCTAGTGTCAGTGGTAATTGGAGTGTCATTCCTATTGGCACTGGTAATGGTGGTGTCATTCTTAGTAGTTGTGGTGGTTACATTTCTATTGATAGTGGTGGTGATGTCATTTCTAGTGGTGGTGCTAGTGTCATTCCGAATGGTAGTGGTGATGCATTCCTTGTGGCAGTGTTAGTGGTGGAATCATTCCTAGTGACAGTGGTAATAGTAACGTCATTCCTAAGGGATGTGGTAGTGGTCGTGTCATTCCCAGTGGATGTTGTGGTGTCATGGCTAATAACAGTGGTAGTGGTGGTGTCAGGGACTGTAACACTGGAAGAGGTGTCATTCCTAGTGACAGTCGTAGTGTCATTCCTAATAATAGTAGTGATGTCACTCCTAGCGGCCATGGTAATAGTATTGTCATTCCTAATGGGAGTGGTAGTGGTGGTGTCACTTTTAATGGCAGTAATACTAGTGGTATTATTCCTATTTGCAGAAGTAGTGGTGGTGTAAGTCTGAGTGATAGTGTTAGTGGTAGTGGTAGAGGTGTCAATCCTAGTGGCAGTTATAGTGGTGGTGTCCTAGTGGTAACGGTGTTGTCAATTTTAGTTGCAATAGTTGTGGTGGTCGTATTCCTAGTAGCAGTGGAAGTGGTTGTATCAATCCAAGTGGCAATGGAAATGGTGGTGTCATTCCTAGTGGGCAATGGTTGTGGTGGTATCATTCTTAGTGGTACGGGTGGTGGCGGTGTCATTTCTAGTGGTATTGGTGGTGGTGGTGTCATTCCAAGATGGCAGTAGTAGTAGTTGAGTCATTTCTAATGGATGTGGTGGTGGTGATGTTATTTCTTGTTGATGTGGTGGTGTCAATCCTAGTGGGAGTGGTAAGATGGTGACATTAAAATTTGTAATAATATTGGTGATGTCATTCCTAGTGATAGTGGTGGTGTCATTCCTCTTGGTAGTAATAGAAATGGTGTCATTCCTAGGGGTAGTAATAGTTGTGGTGTCAGGGATTGTGACACTAGTAGAGGTGTCATTCCGAGTAGTATTAATGGGGTTATTTCTATTGGCAGTGGAAATGGTGGTGTCATTCTTTGTGGTAATAAAAGTACTGTTGTCATTTATAGAGGCAGTGGTAGGTGTTGTCATACCTAGTGGCAGTGGTAATAGCGGTGTCATTTCCGTTAGCAGTGAAAATGGTGGTGATATTTTTAGTGGTTGTGGCATGTATATTGATATTGGTGGTGTTGGTGTCATTCTAAATGGTGATATATTCCTAGAGGCAGTGTTAGTGGTGAAATCATTGTGGCATTTGTAATAGTGGTGTCATTCCCAGGGGTTGTGGTGGTGTCATAGTTAGTGACAGTGGTAGTGGTGGTGTCACGGCTAGTGAAACAGGTAGAGGTGGTGTCATTCCTAGTGGTAGTTGTGGTGTCATTCCTAATATTAGTGGTAATGGTGTTGGCATTGCTAGTGGAAGTGGTAGAACTGGTATAATTCCTAGTGGTAGTAATAGTATTGGTGTCACCATCTAACTGCCACTATTCCTAGTGGCAGTGGTATTGGTTGTGTCAATTATAATGGCAGTATTCTACATCGATAGAAGCTTGGATAGTGTTATTCATATTTGCAGTGGAAGTGGTGGTGTAAATCCTAGTTAAAGTGTTAGTGGTTAGCGATAGGTAGTGGTAAGTTGTAGTGGTCAATCCTAGTGGCAGTAGTAGTTGTGCTGTCAATACTAGTGGCAGTGGAAGTGGTGGTTACATTCCTAGTGGCAGTGGAAGTGGTGGTTACATTCCTAGTGGCAGTGGAGTTTTGTAAGTTCTGGTGATAGTGGTGTTGTCATTCCTAGAAGGCTGTAGTAGTGGTTGTGTCATTTCTAATGGTAATGGTGCTGGTGATGTAATTCTTAGTGATAGTGGTGCTGTCATTCTTAGTGGTAGTGGTGGTGTCATTTTTAGTGGTAGTGGTGGTGTCATTTTTAGTGGTAGTGGTGGTGTCATGCGAAGTGGTAGTAACAGTGATTGTCATTTCTAGTGGTAGTGTCATTCCTAGTGTCTGTAGTAATTATAGTGTCATTTCAATTGGCATTGGTAATATCGGTGTCATTCCTAGTTGAAGTAGTAATTGTGGTATCATTCCTAGTGGAATTGGTAATAGTGGTGTCATTCCTAGTTGTAGTGGTGGTGTCATTCATAGTAACTGTAATAGTGGTTGTGTAATTTCTAGTGGTAGTGGTAGTGGTGGTGTCATTCCTAGTGGAAATAGTAAAGGTTATGTCATTCCTAGTGTCAGTGGTATTGGTAGTGTCAATCCCTGTGACAGTGGTAGTGGTGGTGCCATTCCTAGTGGCAGTGGTTATGGTCGTGTTTTTCTTATTGATAGTGGTGGGGGTGGAATCATTCCCATAAGTAGTTACAGTGGTGATGTCATTCCAATTAGTAATAATATTGGTGATGTCATTTCTAGTGATAGTGGTGGTGTCATTCATAGTGCCAGTAGTAGTGGTGTTAATTTCGCGTCAAAATATTGATAATAATTCATTGTGTTTGGGGAGAGATAGCCAGTGTATATACAAATATGACAAGACGGAGGTCCTGGAGAGATAGGAAGCCAGTGTCAATATACAAGCTGAGGACGGGAGTCGAACGAAAGGCACCAGAACTGAGGCGCAACTCAGAATGGTGCAAAGCATCATGACGGCGAAAAGTGGAAGGAGAAGCAGGGCAACCATAATCGAGCTTAGACAGGACGAGAGAGGAATGTAAAGCAAGGAGAGTGCGCCTATCCATTCCCCCGAGAAGTATGGGGCAAGACCCGAAGGAGGGTAAGGGACTTAGAGCACTCAACACGGAGGTAAGAGATATGGGGAGACTAAGACAAACGAGTGTCCAAGAATAACCCCAAAAGCTTCGCGGAATCTTTGTACTCAAGGGGATGACGATAAAGTGACAAAGAGGGACGAAGAACGACCCATTTCCGAGTAAAAGTCATGTCACAAGACCTAGTAGTAGAGAACTTGAAGCCATGATCGGTGGCCCAAGACGATACGGCATCAATTGCAAGTTGAAGCCGGCGTTGAAGGAGAGGCGAATCATCACCCTGACAGCAAAGGGTAAGATCATCGACATAGAGAACGGAGAAGACGCCTGAAGGAAGAGAAGAAAGAAGACCATTGAGGGCAACCAGAAAAAAAAGTAGTGCTCAGAACACTACCCTGGGGTACACCTTCATATTGCTGAAAAGAGGAAGCACCCGAAAGGAACGACGAGAGAGGAAGCTGCGGAGAAAGAGAGGGAGATGACCACAAAGGCAAAAAGAATGAAGCTGGGATAGAATAAGTTATCGCCAAGTGGTGTCGTAAGCCTTTTCCAGGTCAAAAATGATGGCAACAACGGAGGTCTTCGCAGAAAAAGCAGTACGAATATAGACCTCCAACTTCACCAAGACATCTGTCGTGCTACGGCACTTGCGGAAACCAAATTGAGAAGGGGAGAGGAGGTGATGGTGTTGCAGGAACCACATCAGACGAACGTTAACCATACGTTCAAAGAGTTTGCAGGCACAACTTGTGAGGGCAATAGGGCGAAAGTCCTTAGGGGATGTTCCCAGAGACCCTAGTTTGCGAACAGGGAGGACAACGGCATCGAGCCAGTCCTCAGGGACTGATGACGACTCCCAGATCCGATTATACAGACTCAGTAAATACTGAGACGTGCACGAAGGGAGATGGCGAAGCATCTCATAATGAATACCATCGGAGCCCGCCGCCGTAGAACCGCAGAGGTCCAGGGCAGAACGAAGTTCAGAGAGAGAGAGAAGGGATCGTTATAGGGAAGTCGAAGACGAGTGCAGAAATCTAAAGGACGAGATTCAAGGACAGGTTTATGAAGAAGGAAAGATTGGGGAAGATGAAGAACAGAGCTAACAAGAAAAGTGGGAACCCAGTTCGGTAGCGACCTGCACAGGGTCCACTACAAGAGTACCACGGAGGTGAAGGACCGGTGAAACATCGGGAATGAACTTACCAGCTATTTTGCGGATACGCTTCCAGATCTGTGGCAGAGGAATTTCGGACGTAATGGTGGAGACATAAGATGCACAACATTCACGTTTAGCCATACGGATGGCCCTACAGGCCACTGCACTCACCTTCCGAAAGAAAAGAAAAGAATCGGCCGTCTGCCGACGGCGATGTCTCTTCCAGGCTGCACGCTTACAGCGGACAGCCCGAGCACAGTCTGCATTCCACCAGGGAACACACTTCCGTGGACCCCGAGAGGAAGAGCGAGGAATAGAGCGGAGGGCAGCGTCGAAGACAGTGTCATGAAAAAGGAGGAGAGAGCGAGGGAAAGGCAGAAGGGAGAGGTCAGAGAGAACAGCACTGAGGGTAAAGAGGTTCCAGTCCGCTTTCGCAAACTGCCACCTAGGAAAGGAGAGGGGGAGAGCGAAAAGAGAAAAAGGAAACAAGGATGGGGGAATAGTCACTGCCATGGAGGTCATCAAGAACCTGCCACGTGAAATCTAAGTAAAGAAATTACGAGCAAAGAGAAAGATCAAGACAGGAAAGGGTGCGAGTCAAAAGGCGTGGGCTCACCAGAATTCAGAAGAGACAGGAAGAAGAGAGGAGAAACCGCTCAAGAAGGCGACCCCGGGTGTTCGTCAGAACATCACCCCGAAGGGAATGACGACAATTGAAATCACCCAGCAGGAGCACAGGTTCCGGCAAGGAGTCCAGCAGGTGTTCCAGATCAGGAAGAGAAAGCGGGACACTCGGGGGAGATAAATAGAACAAATAGTGTACCATTTCCCCACAAAGATACGAGCAGCGGAACAATGGAGAGGCGAAGGAAAAAGTTAGGAGACAAAGGGAACATCAGAGCGAATCAAGAGAGCAGAAGAGTTAGGGGGGGGGGGAAAGAAACGAATAGCCACGATAGCGACCAGGACGAGCACCAAGCATCGGCTCTTGGAGATAGACATAAAGGGGCGAAAATTGCGAAATCAGAAGTTGGAGTTCAAGGATATTGCCGTAATAACCACGAACGTTCCATTGAAGAATAGACATCAACGAGAAGAGAAAGGACAACAACAGAGAACAAGGAAGAAACAAAGGCGAAAGAGCAACATAGCACGTTAAAGAAGATCAGGATCGGGATCAGGGTCAGCAAAGTCAGGGTTAGGGGGCATGCGTAAACTGAGCAAAGACCTAGGGAAGGAAGTGGAAGAACAGACCAGAGGTGGACAGGCGGGGTCCAGAGGAGGAGGCAACCGAGAGGAGTAGTCAAGGACAGCAGCAGGAAGAGGGGGAGTAGAAAGAGGGGAGTGCACCTCAGCAAGGGTAACAACCGAGAGGGAAGCGAGGGCCAAAGAAACCTCCATAGCAGGAACAGGGGGCGCAAACACCGAAATAGGAGGGGAAGGGGCGATTGAGTCAGAAGTAGGGGCCGAGGAAGAAAACGAAGCCTTCTTACCCACCGGAGAGGAGCCAGGCTTACGCTTCTGACTTAAAGAGACCGGTGTCCCAACAACTACGTACTGGGCAACGAATTCCAGCATCTCAAAAGGAGAAGCTGAACGAGAGCACACACGACGGCCGTTAGGAGAGCGATGGACATCAGCCCGCACTGACAGGCGGCGGGGAGAGTCAAAAGATGGAGGAGAAAGACGGGAAGGAGGATCGAAGGGAGACGAGGAAGAAGACACAGGAGACATGACAGACTGGGTAGAAAGAAGAGGAACCCCAGACAGAGGACCAGGAGAGGGGACCCTTCGGGAAAGAGCTCAAAGGAACAGAGGAGGAGGCAGTGGGCATATCACGGTCCAGGGCCCGGAAACAGTTGTGGGTCTGAGAAAGGTGGGAAGGACGAGGAGAGGAAGAGCGCAACATGCGAGCATAAGAGACGTTAGCATAAGGCGGGAGCTGGCAATTCTGGCGTCTCGCCTCAGGAAAAGACAAATGCTCCCGGTGCTTCAAGTTGAGGATGGCTGCCTCAAGCTTGTAATGAATACAGGCACGGGAGAAGGTAGGATGGGCCTCACGCAGTTGAGGCAGCGAGCCTGGGGAGAAGTGCACTCCGACTTAGAGTAACCTTCGCCCCCACACAAAGGACAGAGAGAGACAGTCCCGGAGCAGCGGAGGGCACCATGCCCAAACCTCCATCACATGTTACAAAGCCTAGGAGAAGGAATGTACTCCTGGACAGAGCACCTGGCACCAGCAAGAATGACAGAGGGCGGAAGGGTCCTACCATCAAAAGTAATCTTTACAACTCGAAGGGGCTGACGGCGACGACCACGAGGGGGACGAGTAAACGTGTCTATCTGAAGGACAGAATGGCCCTGGGCCTCAAGGATATGCAGAATATCATCGTGGCAGTCCTGCAGATTCCGAACACCGGTTGCAACATGGGGCGGAAGGAGAATAGTGCCAACGCTGGCATTCAACCGAGCGTTCTTGGAGACCCGAACAGGGGTCTCGCCAAGGCAGGATAAAGCAGCCAAGCGGGAGGCTGCATCCTGAGAAGGAGCAGCAACGACACGTGTATCGAGACGGGTGGGGATGAAGGTGAAAGAGGCATCCGCAGAATCAAGAAGGTGCCTATGAAGGGTGAAATCATCAGGAGGCACAGAATCAAGAGGGAGGAGATCAAAGTATTTGTCCCATGAAGCGGGACCAAACAAGGCCTGATAGGCATCAGAACAGGAAGGAATCGAGCGAGTGCGGCCTTGTCGAGGACGGCGTTGAGAACCCCCAGAGAGAGTGGGGGGTTAAAAAGTGCAGTAGTCACAACTAGAGACTGAGCCTTGGGGCTCGACCCAACCACAGAGGAGGGATGAGAGCCGAGGGGAGGAGTCAGAGAGGCCAAAGGAGGTGCAAGGTCGGGGCCCAACGCAGCGGGGCCTACAGAGCCTAGTCTTCCAATACAGTCTGACTCGGGGGCTTGGTCGCCCACCCCACGAGCCTGAGAGGGTACAAGAGCGACATTCAACAACATAGACACGAAAAGAAACACTTTCACTCACGAATGTGCCCGCACTCCTACCATGGAGCCACAATTAGAGGTAGGACGCCCAATAAGAAGCTATTGCCGATCAAGCCGGGGCCCCCTAGGGGTGCGTCGTGAGTATACGCCCCACCAATGCCATCTTAAGAACCGTCAATCCGTCGAGACCGGGTTCAGTGACGAAAGGGGGATTGACAATAAAAGGTTCCCGTCGCTCGAGACGTTGGGTACTACAGTTCTACGGGTGCAAGAGTATGCCTCCTCAAGCACCCGGGCATCAAAATAGAAGAAGTCCAAAGGAATAACCAAAACAAGCAAAAGGTCGGCAGGAAACGACAAGCAGTTAGGAGAAGAGGGGGGAGAAAAACGAAACAGAAGGAAAAGGAAAAGTTGTTCAGCACAATTAGAGAGGACAGCGGCAGGAGCACAAGGCTACAAAAGGACAGAGGACTGTCCCAAGGAGCATTACACTCCGGCAGCTGCCCACCAAGCCCCCTCACGGCATCAACGGGTTGAACAGGGGGGG